CTTCGAAGGCAAAGGGAAGGCGGCCACAGGAGCGCCTGAAGCCAAGTGTCTCCTCAGGGCTCCGGTTGCAGGGAGGAGCCCTGACTGGCTGCAGTTGGCTGCGCCAAACGCAGTTGCTGTAACGCTACGGCAGCAAGGGAGAAGGGAAAGCAACGGTGATGGAAGGTCTCCCGAACATCCAAGCTGTCGCCGCCCGCCCACCCGAGGATGCAAGGGGGGGGGAAATTAAGTCACCCCCGAAAAGACGGCCTAGCCGGTTTTTCGGGGGTCAAAAAAAAATAAGGCCCGGCCTTATTATGTGAGAAACACAGTAGTACTTCAAGCTTCAACACTAATATATACACAATCAATACTGCTTGTAATGCCTTGTTTATTTTATTACTGGAATACATGCAGACTTCAAAAGAAATCAGTCCAATGGCAATAAGAACCAGCTTCATGTCAACACTGGAGTCTATTTATTAAATAGAAATCAGGATATGTTATTAGAATAGGAACATAGAAGTAAGGAAGAGATAATAATGCAACCAGGAGAAAATATTCAAAGCTGCTGTAATATGCTTTTCTTTTCTGGCAACCAATTCTTGTAATTTGGGAAAACTGGCAGCTAGCAAAGCCACCTTGATCTAATCATTTCCTTCATCTCTTATAGGACCAGATATTGATAAGTAAATAATGACAGTGCAAAACTTCCAGCCAGTGTGAAATAAACTGTAGGCCTTTGAAGTGAATTTGATGTAAGAAATATTTTTTGCAGATGAAATTTCAACTTCTTCACAACAGTTCATTTTGTACTCAAAACAATGCTAAATCTCCTTTCAATGAACAAACTGGATTGTCTCGTAAGGCAGTCACAATTTCTACAAGTTTCTGACTGCTGTATAAATATATACAATCTTTAGCCCTCAAGTGGAACTATAAATGATTAGGATAGTAGCCAGGGGATAGTGAACAACAAAGCAATGGGGGATCTTCAGTTTCACTCCAACAACTAGGTCAAGAAAATACTGTTTGATATGCAACACTATCCAACACTCCCAAGTCAATAACTTCCAGTAACACCCCAAAGAGTGCTTGCTCTATTGCTCATAAACAACATATTAGTAAAGTCAACCAATTAATTTCAAGGCAAACTGAAGAAAACATTACTTCCCCAAGAATAGAAATGATAGTGTCCAATTCAGTGATTACAGGCAACTGTCAGATGTGGCTTCACATCACATTCAGAACATAATCCCAACAACCCCGTCAATGATCAGTTGATAACCTCTAGCCACTGTGTCATGTTCTGGCTTCCTCCTCTTGTGATGGTAGAGTTGAAAATCTGGTAAAGTCCACACAGATCCAGGACGAGGGTACAATCATAAGGAGACAAAAGGAAGCCACAATGTATGCAAAATTCTGCTGCCAACCAGGTGTACATGCCCAATGGAACCAATGGAACAATCCCTCAGTAACACCAACTGAATTGATCAGTTAAATTCATCCATGCAGCAGGCTCTGGTTGTAGAGGCTTTGTGAATTCATGGATTACCAACCAAACCTGATTCTCATTGTCGTTATTCATGATGGAAGCTAAAAGCAAGTGCAATGAGTGACCACCAACTAAACCACTTGGCCTGAAAGTAGGAGAGAATGGCTACCAAGGGAAATTATGTCTTCTAGGAAGCCTGTATCAGTTGTTCTCAGAAGTTTCAAAATATTTTCCAAAAGGAAAAGCTGTTTCCTTCTTTAACCAGATAAAATGAGAGGCATTTTCATTTTATTAACACCCAACAGGTCATCTAGATAGTTGAATTAAAAATTAAATATCTACTTTTAAGTATACCCTAAAATACAAACAAAAGAGATCCTCCTCAATACTTGTAGCATCAAAACTGAAGTTTCACTAATTAAATCCAAATAGCCCCCACTTTTTAAAAACTGCAGAATGTGTGTAACTTCTAATGACTTGCTAGAAAATTCAGTCTCTGAGGTCAATCTCTGGATGTGAATAAAGCCAGGGGGAGTTTAAGTTTAGAAAATACTTAGCCAGATGCAAGCCTCTAAATGAGAAACCAGGAATACAGCAGAAATGTGGGTGGACTAAGGAAGTTCATGGCAACGGACTAATGACTAGTATGTTGAATGCAACCAAGCGCAGTTGAAGAAGCCTTGGAAGAAATTATTTCAGGTGGGAAGAGCTTGTTCTAGAATGTCTGTGGCATAAAAAATAAGTCCATTGGTCATGAGTGGCGATCCATTAGATCATTTCCCCTACCTTCCATCATGAGTGGGGTTTTTGATAAGGAGTGCCTTTAATACCAGTGTGCAGAGTGTGGCAAAAAGGGTCCATGGATCCCTCAAAAGAAAACCCTGAGCTACAATTGGAAACAAAAGCAAAACCTTTCCCAGCTACCCCTTTCAAGCTCCTAAGAAATGCTGGAGGAATCTGCACCTTACAGCTCTCAAGGAAGGCTGTTTTCAGCCTTTGGAAAGCTAGAGCAGTCGTTTATCTATCTATCCTCAATGCAGCAGTGACCAACAGCATTTAGATTTCAGAGTGGCAAGCAGATAATGAGCCCAAGGTCCAGCCGAGGCCTCAGGAATATTTTTAACATGTGTGTATATAGAGTGGCTTTTAAGTAGAGTATTATATACTGGCTGAGGAGGAATGCATAGAAAAAAGGAAGGAGTTCCAACATGGCCTCATTCCATAATGCCAGAGAGCTCATATTCACTCGGTAAAAATGCCTGGGGTAGGTGCTCTCAAGAAACTGGGGCTGTCACTCAACAGGATGTGCTTGTGCTTCTTACATTTTCCATTAATATTGTGCCATCTTGAATGAGCAGACATTCTGTCCTCGATTTTCTGGATGTCCACAGAATAACTGAAGGCAAAAATCCTTCCTGATCATCATCTTCCATTTACATCTCGCTGGGATAAAAGCCCAGTTTAGCAATGGACATTTCCTTCCGAAGCCTCATAACTTCCCAATACATCAATTCCACTGTGGGTTAAAGGAAAAGAAAAAGATTAAACAGAGAAGCAAATAAGAAATCGTTGTAGCAGAAGGCAAACTTGTTTGCTCTATGCTAACTTCCCCAACTCCTGAGTAGTGCTCTCCGGAGCTCAATGTTCATCAGCTCAGCCAGCACAGCCAAATGATCAGGAGTCATGAGAATCATTTGAGGAACCTATCCCTTCCATTTGGAAGAGCCACTTCATATTTTGGCAATATTTGCTAAAATATGAAGGTAGAGGAATTGATGTGTAGCATCTCTTTCCACTAACACAAAAGCAAGATCCTTGACCTACAATAATGGCTATTTCTCTATGGACCAAAAGGCGGCCAGGGGGACGGACGGTGTGTGTGTGTGTTGTGTTACCATTGTCCTTTGCTTAACAGTATGATGTCTTCTTTTTCCACCACCATCAGCCCTTCACTTTCTCAAATTACATTTCTGCTCTGGATTCAGATTTCTTTTATCCAAGCAACTTAGTTGTGGCTCTTCTTCCTGTTCACAAGGTTATTCCTTCTGCCCAAGATAACCACATATTTATCTTCTCACTGAATGGAAGGCACCTGTATGTTGAAACCCTACCGATTTTTAATTAAAATGCTATCTTAAAAATAGTCTAAATTATGCAAAGTTCAAATCCCAATTTGGATCTTAACATCACATATACCTTCTTGAACTTATTTCTGGAGTTTGGGGTTTGATTGTATGCACATGAACTTTTAAATCCATTATACACTAGATTATCTAAATTAGTTCAGGTAATGTAACATTAGTTCAGCTAAATTACCTTTATTTTCTACCTGCTTTGGGTAACATTTACAATGGGGTGGGGGAGAAAAATTATCTCTCGAATGTTCCCTTATGAAATGTCCAAAATGCTTGGAATGATTTGGTGGTGCCATTTGTAATCTCGTATGTTTGCTGTGCACCTTGTGAATTAGCTACAAAGGGAAGAGCCCAACTTGCACATCTCAAAAGAGATGAAAAAGAAGGGAATTCTTACCATCTTGTCTCACCAGTCCCTGCTGAATGTACCGAATATAAGTGAAGAAGTTGCATACGGCTGTAATCTGAAAGAGAGAACAAACATTACACCTGTTTATAAGCACATTTAGAAACGTTTACAGAAAACATACCGAATAGCACAGACAATAGTAAACTCTTCTGTCTTTAAGATGATAAATTACTCTGATGGCATCAGATGCAAGATACCTAAAAAGGCATAGATGAAGCTGAACCCAATTGTTCTGCATGTATTCACATTTATAGTGCCCAGATAAAGATTAGATTATTTTCTGCTAGGCGCTTTACTAATAAGAACTTACCCTGGCCCTGCAGGAAGGGGAAATATAGTAATAATTCCCAGAATCCCCCAGTTTGATACGATGCTTACAGGCTCGGGACAGGCCGCTCAGAGCGCATTTCCTATAAAAAGGGAGGTGGGAGTGGAAAGAGTTAAGCAGGATGTCATCTAGAGGCCTTGACTAAAGGGAACAAAACATGATGCTGGTCACCAGAATGCAAACCCAAGAAAAGACCTTCATTTTTGCATCCTATTAAAGGGTTCCACAGTATGTTGTCATTTTTTTTTAGTTATTCTCCATACTATGAATTTATCCTAAAAGGTATTAAGGCTATAAAGCTAAGCATACTTATTAGCAAAGAAGTTCAACTCAACTCAGTTCAATTCAGTTCAATTTACAATTCTTAGAAGTGGAGGGTAAATTTGTCAACTTCGTATTAGGGATTGTTATATCCTGGGAGGAGATCTTCCTATTCTGTCAGCTAAAACTGAACGATCTAAATCGGTGTTTTTCAACTCCCAGAATTCTCCAGCGTGATTGTCTTTGTACAGACCTCCTGCTTCTTGTTTTTAACCTTGGAGGGTAATGAGTACTTCTGTTGAATCAAACTTTGTTGATTCAAAACTTGCTATTTGTAGCTTGTTTGAAAAGTACATTTGGGGCATTCAGTCTCAAAAGGTGTTGCTCCTATAGAGGTTGCAGAAAGTTTTGGAATTTGGCTTTACTAGAAATAAAAATATTGAGAAATGGAAAAATCATAAAGATGCATTTACAAATATTCTGCCTCCATTCTATCACCTCTTCCTATTTTCCAGTAAATGAACTCAAATTATTATGAAGATCAGCAGTGTAGAATATTTGAAGTTGTTGCATCTTGTTTTTCTTCCTTCTGTAGATTTATAAGTAATTTAATTTAAAAAAGAGAAAAGAAAAGAATCTATTACTATTAAGTCACCTGTAGGCAATTCAAAATTTCTTGCATTAAAATTTGACCTTTGAAAAAGTCTAGCTGCAAGATTTGGGAGGTAACCAGGAACACAGAAAACCAAGTAGAGTTAATATTACAGGAGAAAGTTGACAGTTAGTAGACAAAAATACCCCTCTGGGATTATATACCCAGAAGTGCAGGAATAAAGAACTATTTCAAAGACAGTTGTAATTGAAGATTATATGGTACCCTGTCAGCATCCTGAATGCTTATTATTTTGACAACACTAATTACAAAGCTGTTAGTAACAACTTGAGTTAGTAGCTTATTAATAATGGAGTAAATACCTTTTCACTGGCTTAAAAAAAAACTTACGTTATAATTTGGGACCGGAACCCACTGTGAGAAGAAATAAGAAGTTGAAACTAGGATTAGGCTAGAAATGGCAACATTCATTCTTCTTGGACTAATGGTGGTGTGCGTGTAGAAAGCACAGCTCAAAGTGAGGGAAGATTAACATCTAAATTATTTATGCTATAATCCTATATGAGGGGGCTTTAGTGCTCTCTGAGCTTGCTTGTTTTCTTGAAGACGTTTCATTACCCTAACTAGGTAACATCATCAATGCACATCCTATACCTACCAAGAAACCGACAAGAACAAACTCGGAGTAGCAGAATTCTGGACTACACTATCCCTAAAGTTTAAATGGGGCACAGAGAATATCTGTCTCAAGGATAAGTTATTTCCAGCCCTGCAGACTGACCATACCACTTGGGTCTAAAGTAACCAAGTGCCCTTTCTTGTGGGCCACCTTGCACTGATGCCAATGGGAGGGGGGATTGCACAGCAGATGAACCACCTTATCAGCCATGCAGTCTAATGGGAGAAAGCAATTTGACAACTCCAGGCAGTTTAAACCCTTTGCCCAGAGTTCTGTACAAATAGTAGACATAGAGATCAAATCATATTCTCTCACAAAGTGGTAGTTGAGGATAACCATCAACAATATTTAATCATATCTCTCAGGCTCCCTTAATGTCCAATTTCCATACCTGGAAGACAAGCATCCCTTCAGTCAAGTTCTTACTTTGCATCAGCATAAAACAATTTTCAAGTTTGTAGTACCTAGCTAAATTTAGATCCATTAGAACTGCTGATTGTTGCTAATAATATTTATACTTTTGTACATTCATGTAATCTGATTCTCCTATTACTGATCCCTTCTCTCCTTTGCTTTCTCTTCTGGATTTTGTGGGCCAAGCAGTACAAATTGAAAGGAAGGATACACAATGGTGCAATAAAACAAATTCCGTAAACAACTAAATAGAAGACCTTGTTTCAGAAAGGCAATTGGTAATGTAGCATGTTAGAAGCTAATGGTGCATCTGTGGAAGAAGAGCAGGAGTTTTTAAAAAAAGCAGCTGGACAGCTGTTATGATCTTACTTTGGTCCACCGCATTCAATGGCTGCCACCTTCACTACAGGCAATGCCTGGGTAGCCACTGGTTCAATGGTAAGGGTGTTCTGCTCCACAGCTGCCTGAACCAGCTCTGAAAGCTACAGCAAAGAAAACAAATACAAGGAATTACATCAACAAAGAAGGAGCACCTCCATCTCTCAGAAATCTCTGAACAACTCATCTTAAACTGACTTCATGCTTGGTGAAGTCCAGGCAAGGGCCTACATCTTCATGGTAAATCCTCTTGAGAAAAGGACACAATTTATCCAATGTTGGAGACTCCTTCCAAGCCTGAAATTCTGCAAACAAGATGGAATCCACCTGCAGCGACAGAAAACCACGAAACAGAAGTCTATTGAAGAAAACTAAGGAGAGAAAAACATACACACAGAGATACACAGACACAAAGAAGGAAGTAGATATTCCCTTACAAAAACCAGAACGTTTTTCCAGTGTATGTCCTATTAAGCAGATGATGAGGCAAGGAAGTAAAATGTGACTTATGTGCCAGCAATAGGTGGTTCTGCCTCCTGCTGTGGTTACTGCAGAAAGGGCATGACAAAGAGAGCATCCTCAGGAGCAGAGGTGGTATTCAGCAGGTCTGACCAGTTCTGGAGAACCGGTAGCGGAAATTTTGAGTAGTTTGGAGAACCAGCAAATACCACCTCTGACTGGCCTCGACACCATCTATTTTCTGCCTCCCGAGTCCCAGCTGATCAGCTGGGTCTTCTTTTGTTGCCCTGCACAGGAGAACAGAGCTGAAAAGCAGGTTAGTGGGGTGAGGAGGAAATGGGATTTTGCAGTATCCATCTCCTGGAGTGGGGTGGGAATGGGGATTTTACAGTATCCTTCCCCTGCCACACCCACCAAGCCACGCCCACCAAGCCACACTATGCCCACAAGCCACGTCCACAGAACCAGTAGTAAAACTGTTTGAATTCCACCACTGCTCAGGAGACAATGTAACCTCCATCAGTAGTAGTACCCCAATAAGGGAACCAAAGGGAACCAAAGGGAACATCAGTTATTAGTCTGTACATTTTTGAACATACAGAGGCTTACATGCCCTATCAGAGGTGAAGATCAGTTCTGTCTTCTCCATGGGGAAGCAGCCTCGCATGGACTGTGATCTGCATTCATGCTCAAGCAGTATGCCAATGACAGAGAGGGTGGGGCCTCAGCAAAAACTCCTGCTTCTCTTTATGACAAATCAGCTGCTTCCAACAGGTCCAGAAGAAGGGCAGAAAAACCTTAAGATAGCTCGACTGTAAATTCTCCTATAACTTTATTACTATTGACAATATGAATATTAAGCTCTTCCAAACAAGTGATTTGCATTTTAAATCACACATCTTTGTACCACTGAATAGGGAGATAACTGTGCGCATGGTTTTCCCATGAAAAGAAGCAGCTTAATTGCCTCCCCCCTTCACCAAAAAAGAATTCATTTCTGATCCCAGCAAGCAAGCATCCCTTCATCAAAGTTGAAAAAAAATGTGGTTTCCCCCCCCAAAAAAAGATTGCACGGCTACTTGGTTGGGTTGAATAAAGGCCCAATTTCAAAAACAACTCATAGTTGAAGCATTCTATGTCCTGAAGACTTTGGCTGTTACAAAATAGGGCATGCTAAGTAGGAAAGGCAGGATGCAATGAGTCTTTTCTTCTAGCCATGTATCCACATGGCAGGGAGAAAACTCACAAGATCAGAGAGTCTTTTCAATTGGGGTGGCACTAAATTTATCTGTCAAAGAAGTAAGCCAAGATGTAAATAAATAAATATTTAACCAAGCAAGTAAAGAAGACCAGGTACCCATGGTTTTGCATTAGCAGGCAGGCCAGGCCAACAGAGAAAACATAACTGCTTGGTTTTTGTAACCACCCCTTAAGAATAAAAAATATTTAAAACATTCTGTAATGAATCAAGTCTTGAATGTGGATTACTCCCAGAAAGGTGTACTGGTGCCTTTGGGAAACCCAAGGCAAATAAGGACAGAATTGCAGAACCCCCTCCTAATTTTGCTTTTAGCAATTGCTAAACATTTGGGATTTCTGATTCCAAAATTGGACATAGTATATGCAGCAATCATGACTGGTGTCCACTGACCATCCAGTCTTCCATAAATTTGTGAGTTCTCCTTTCCAAAGGTAAATAAGTTAGCAGCTCATATTTGATTTGTGGAAAATATCTGTTCTTGGAATTTCGGTTTCTCAACCTGGCCCACGGAACTGCCATGGCTGTAGACAAGACCTTTGTTTTAAATCAGGGGTGGGGAACTATGGTCCTTTTATGACTTGTGGACTTTTAACTCCCAGGATTCCTGAGCCAGGCTGGTTCAGGAATTCTGGGAGTTAAAGTCCACAAGTCATAAAGGGCCCATAGTTCCACACTTCTGTTTTAAATAAGGCAATTCTCAAAATCTTCAAACTTTGGTGCCTTTAGGTTTCTTCTTTAAATAAAGGCAATCCTCAAAACCCGTGAGTACCTCCAGGTTTTCAGAAAGCCGCCAAACTTCCCCAGTATGTTGTCTTCCAAATGTTGGAGGGTTAGAAAGTTCCACAACAGGATAACCATGATTATAAAAAATAACTGACTTCTGACATCTCTAGTTGCGTTAAAAAAAAAGCTTATAAAAGATTCCAATATTGGAATATTTTGAGGAATATTTTTTTCTTACTCTCCTGTCCATACATATTTTTAAAAAGCAGCACACAAACACGCCAAAGACTGTGAAAAGAATGTAGCAGTGAATGCAGCTCTCCAGCCTGAAGGAAAAGTCTCTACTGACAATGTAGAAGCATTAAGCTACAGGGACTGCTCACCTAAGACCAGGAAACCACTTCAGAGCACCCATATGGGAGAAGGGGGGAGACATTTAGAGGGGAAAAACACGCACATAAAGGACTGATAGTATTAAATAAAAAACTGAACAGGGGGAAGTGTTAAAAGTACATCCAAAAAGTATTTCTTGTTGACAGAACTGATCCTTCCTCAAGATAAGTGAAACCAGTTTCCACAGCTAGACTGATTGGGATTGCAACTATCAAGATTTTTTTTAACCAGTCTTGATGTTGCAGTCCCTCCCTTTCTGGCAACAACTGCTATGGATAATGAATCTAGCCAACATGAAAAGGAGGACATGTCTCTTTACTATCTGTACAGAAGATAGAACTGCTTCCCTCAGATTTGATGACCACCTTCACCAGCAAAGCAATTTTGTTGGCAGAGCTATTCTATTTCACCCCACTCTAAGAGAAATTACCTGCCGCGAGAGAGAAGAGGAGAAAGGAGAGTCTGCTGCCAGGAACCGCCAGCCTGGCTCATAGGTGATGTGGATCGCCTTCGCAGGGACGATACAGAGCAGCAGGGAGAGGAGAGTGGGTACCCCAGACTTTAAGGAATGGGAGAGCAAGACAGATAGGTGATAAGGGCAGAGAGAAGGGGGAAAGAGGAGAAAGACAAGGAGAGAAAGGAAAATGGTGTGAGAGGGACAGAAGATTAGAAAGAATACGACCTCAGTCACAAAAGAACTTGGGCACAAATATCCCACCCCAGAAGGTACATAAAGATGGCCACCCTATCTAATTCTGGTCTAATCCACATGTACTGGGACTGCAACTCCCAGAATTCCCAAATTACCTGTCCCCAGCAATATTGGGAACTCTGGTCCAACATGGCTAAAACCTACAAGACTTGATCAAACAAGAGGCTTCTCGTGTTTGATTCGTTATATTTAAGCTCATTCATGCGTAGTCATACATGATCATTACTGCTTATTTCTTTGACTCTGATTTAGTATATCAAAAGAACCCAACCAGAATCAAGGAATTAATCAAAAGAGGTCAAATGAAAGGTTCCTCAACACTTTCTGCAACGAAGCAGGTTGTGTAAAACAAGACTTTTCCACTAGATAAAACACTTTTCCACTAGATCCCTGCCCTTACTGCGTTTCCCCTTTTCACACACACAACACAGCATGGCTGATAATATTGTGCTTCCTCCCAGAGCCTCAAGCTACAGGCTGATCGATCACATTTACCCACCTCTTTGAATTCGCTGTTGACTGATTCCTGGGGTGCACTCTGGCCAGCAACTGTCGTTGCACCGGTGCTACTGGTGCTCTTGTTGCGTCCATGTCCCTTTCTGAAGGCTGTTTTGGTGGGGCTCTGAAGTTGTGGGTGCAACTCCCGATTTGGCGAGGAAGGAGTTGACGTTATGACTAGCGTCTTCAAGGCTGTCACCTCTGCTTGCAGCATGTCAATCTGATGAGAGACCAAGAGCCATCAGCAATGATCAGCAGAGAACTTGGTCCCAGGATTATGCCATGTCCAGGAGAACATTTAATGGGTCATGAAGCCAATCAGTCGTGGCTCTTCTTTGAAGCAAACGAAGAAGTTCAGTTCAGAAGCTACCTAGCTTTCAATTACATGTTTTTATTCTTATTTCCCTGCACAATCCCCAAATGTTAAGTATATAAGCTTTACAAAGATTTTTCCCTGTACATCGTAACTACCAAAAGTATTAAATAGGAAAGAACACATACATATTTGCATATATTAGTTACCTACATACCTGGTTTTCTTGGTGCATAATTTTATTTATACAAGTACTGGCAAAAATATTTATACAAATGCTGGTTCATGTAAAGAAGGCCACAGGTAGTCCTCAACTTATAGCTGTTTGCTTAGTGACTGTTCAAAGTTATAACAATGTTGAAAAAAGTGACTTATGGCCGTTTTTCACATTCACAACTGTTGCAGAATCCCCGTGGTCATGGGATCAAAATTCAGATGCTTGTAACTGGCATGTATTTGTGCTGGTTGCAGTATCCTGGGATTTTGTGATCACCTTTTTGTGACCTTTCAACAAGGAAAGTCAATGGGGAAGGCAGATTCACTTAACAACCGGGTTACTAACTGTAGTGGTTCACTTAACAACTGTGGCAAGAAAGGTTGTAAAATGGTGCAAACTCACAACTGTCTCGCTTAGCAACAGAAACTGTGGTTGTAAATCAAGGACTACCTATATTTCTCACATGATGGTTGGGTAAAGCATCTAACACAAAATCTTTCAGGTGATTTGCTTCAGCTCTGCCAACAGATGGCGCTATAATCACATCAAAATGGTGGCTTTTTTCTGTAGTTCACAGCTACAAAACCCTTTCAATCCCATCCTTTGCTGTGCCTCTCTTGAATTTTTGAATATACAAGAAGTTCGAGTTCAGCAAGTTCTTCTAAAGTCATCCAAAAAGGGATTGTGGAAGCTGAAGTATTAGTGATGTATCACTGATCTCTGGTGCCCCCTCTCCTGCACAAACTGGTTGAACAAGACTCTTCAAATACCTGAAGGTTTCTCATGCTGGAAGCAAAGACATTTTCTGCTCCTCCAGAGAATGGGATGAAACCTAATTGGCTTCAGTTACCGTGGATAGTTTGGGGATGAAGATTAGGATAAAGTGTTGATATTAACAGAAATCTCACAATGGATCTAACAGCTCGGCTTTATCCAGTTCCTTGAGGCAATGTATTTACTACATTATGCTACTTGGTCCTTCTTTGTTTGTTATTGTTGTTTTTGCAGGGATTGTTTCTGAATGTATACTGGTAGTCCTTGATTTATGGCTATAATTTGGTGTGCAATTTCAGTCACAAGGTGTTGTTAACCAAGTTGTGATGGTTGTTAAGCAAGTCATCAGGTGGCTGTGTCCAATTTGAAGACTTTTTGTAGTGGTCATTAAGTGAATGCTGTTAAGCATAGTTAAGCAAACCCATTGTTCGTTATGGAGTGTTGTTGTTTTTTTACCTCAAACAGGAAATAAACACCAGTTTCCGGCAAAAATGTCATAAATCATGGTCAGGTGATCACGGAATGCTGCATATGGCTGTAAATGCAGGCCAGTTGCTGAGCACCCAAAATGCAATCACGTGGGGGGCGGACATTTTAACTTCAAATCTAGGTCATAAATAGCTTTTTCGAGGGTCTGTTGTAACTGAACGGTCACTAAGCAACCTGTTGTAAGTCAAGGACTTCCCGTAGCTGCTAAATAGGTGTCCATTTCAGCAGGCAGAACATGTTTGTCTTGTATCTTCTTTGCCTTCTGAATACTCTCTGAACTCTTTCTGGTATCAAGCCACCTATTTATGATCTTGCTCATGCCTACTAAGGCTACAACCCTCCCCTCCCTTCCTTGGAAACAAACCCCAGTAAACTCATCAGGATTTGTTTCTGAACTGGAACTGCCAGAATTGCATGGAAAACCTTTTCTAAAACATGTGAAATGACATGGGTTTTCAGACACCTAGAGCCAAGTCTCCTGCTTCAGCAAAATTCAGGTCTCTGACTTTATAGAGGATTTCTCTTTTTGATTGCAGTGCATTTATGTTTAGCAGTTTGGTTTTCAGTTTTCTGAAGTTATTACAACCCTCCTGCATTCTTTTTTATTGCTTTATCATCAATTCCCATGAGCCTTCACTGAGAGGAACCGTGTCCCATCGGCTTGGGCTTTGTTACAGTTATCAGCGTGGAGGCCACAGATTGACAACACATTTGAAAAATACACCTCAGAAGCATTTTTGTATGGTTCGATTCCTGCTCCTGTGCAACAGCTTGATTTGGACTACTCTGCCACATAAAAAGGCCTTTTTTTTTTTAACCTGTTGCCTCCAACCAGGAACGAGAAAGGAGCCGCAATAGATATTTTACACCTAAGTGGCTCCCACTACCTTTACATCTGAAAGAAAAACCTGCTCCAGAACTTCTGTATGCATACACACACTCCCCACGCAGTTGAGAACTAGTACAAGCAGGTTTGCTACCCAGATCATGAGGGGAGCCCATATCTAAAAGATTCCCTTTCAGCATCAGGCTCATGGACTTTGAGATATGCTTAGTAGATATGGTCTTGTGATCACCATGGTTGTACAGATAGAGGCAACGTATGAAATGGATTTCTTCACCTTCCCTTGCGCCTCCCTCAGCTGCTTCTCTGAGGCCGCTTGCTTGGTGTTTGCCTCCCGGACCATTTTGTGGGCTTCCTACAGCAGATAGAAGAAAGCAAAAGGATACTTTTGTCCAAGGCAATCAGGTTCTCAAAAATGACAAGAACAATTTTTAAAGAAAATGGAAGAGAGGCCCAACTGTCTTTTCCCAAACTGCCACCCATAAGAACCAACACAGACACATGGTGCATAGGGCACATTAAAATAAGGAACGTTTAATCACACACAGCAGAAGCGCACAGTCTTTTCTTGGGATCAATGTGGACAGGTGAATCTTGCCGAATGCAGAACTCTTGCAGACTTCATGAGGAAAGGGTAATGGGGAAAATGAGTGCAGCCAACATAGAAAGTTGGAATATTGAGATTAAATCGTGATTTTTTTGGGGGGGAAATTCCATCCAATTTCTTCTCCACAAGCCTATTTTCGCGGTTTCTCTTCCATCTGCATATCTGTCACTTTTATGTACTACAAATTGGTGATAGCTATACAGGTGGTTTGCAATAAAAAGCAGTGGAAAGACCAGGTATGATAACCATACAAAACAGCATTTTCCCCTCCCCTGCTAGAAACATGTACTGTATGTTCTAAGGTGACATTTCCTCTTCTCAGGATCTTTTTCTTCCTGGCAATCAAAATGCCACCAATACAGGTAGTCCTCGACTTACAAGAGTTCATTTAGTGACCCTTCAAATTTACAACGGCACTGAAAAAAAGTGACTTATCACTATTATTCACACGTATGACCATGGCAGCATCCCAATGGTCATGTGATTTACATTTGACATGCTTGACAACTGGTTCATATTTATGACAGTTGCAGGGTCATGTGATCACCTTTTGCAGCCTTCCAATTAGCAAAGTCAATGGGGAAGCCAGATTCACTTAACAACCATATAGCTAATTTAACAACTTCAGTGATTCGCTTAACAAATGTGGCAAGAAAAATTGTAAAATGGGGCAAAAGTCACTTAACAAATTTCTCACTTAACAACATAAATGTTGGGCTCAGTTGTGGTTGTAAGTTGAGGGCTATCTGTATTTTAAATATGAGATTTATATTTAAAAAATACTGGACTGAGACACATCTTTTATTTATCAGCTCGAAATGGGGCTGCCATAGAATACTTTGGAATTTTGAGAGGATAGGGCTGATATAAATCCTCTTAGCTGTAAGGTCACTGCCAATCCTAATTCACCAATACAAAAAAAATAATAATAGGTCCTCACATGATTTTGAGTGTGCAAGGCCACAAAGAGCTTCATGTTTGACTGGCAATTTTAAACTACTTTTATAATATGTGGAATTCCTCCTGCTTGTTTTATTTTTATTTTCGTAATATTCCTTGAGAATGTGTTTGAAAGAGCACAACATAATATTCTTAAAAGCAAACTAAAAGTAAACAAGGCATTCAGTATTCAATTTACATTTAGTATTCACCTGGAGCCATAAAGGTGAATATTATTCACTTGTCTTATCCTGGAGTATCTTCAGTCAATATGATCTTGCAAACAAGAGAGAACAAACTCCCCTCCACCCCACACTTACATACAAGCAGTGGTCAGATATTGACTGCCCTACTTAGCATTTGTTCAAACTTATGACAGTACTGAAAAATAGGTTTATGACTGGTCTTTAAACTTACAACAGTCACAACTTGCTATGGTTATGTAATTCCCATTTATAACCTTCATAGTCAGTTTCTGACGAGCAAAAGCAATGGGGAAGCCAGCAGTAAGTTGCAAGATGCAGTCACATGACACTGTACATTCACTTGATGTCCACAGTGGTGCTGATGTAAGACAGATGATATTTCACTTAAAGATTGTGTCCCCTTGCTACAGAATTACTTGTCCTAAATGTGGTTGTTAAGGAAGACTATCTGAATTAGATGTGGAATGCAGAACCCAACCACTCTCAGGTTCGCTCAAAATTAGGGCAAATCCACTTAGATTATATTTCATTTCTCATTTTTCCAGCCTGAGTGAATTAGGCCTAATTCTGTACCAGTTTGCATTTTTGATTTAAAAAAAAAACACACAAATTTTTGTGTACATCTCCCCCTTTTGTTTTAGTTCCAAGTGGCTCATAAAATTCAGATTTCAGCATTTCAGTTTACATAAAAATTCAGAAAGATAAAATTGGATAAATTCCCTGAAATATGGGACCTGAGTAAATTCCTCACTCATCTCTAGCTAATGTTCAATGGCAAGAGAATGATTGCACACTTCTCTGACCCAAGGCCATGGATGAATAGCCTCATCCCCCAGAGAAAGGCTATGCATCCATACAAAATGAGAAATTTCCATTCCTGTGAGGACTACAACACATCAGGGTAATGAGACAGAAAATGCACCAGCTCAGATTCTGCTGACTTTAGGAAAAGAGAAATGGTTGCTCTGCTAACTGAGGAGAAAGTGCTCTTATGCAAACACCCAGTTCCTGTTGGTGCTGGCCTACATAATCAAAGAAACAACACGGTGTGACTTTTGTTGGATCTAATTTCTTCCAGTGGAATATGAGCTTTACTGGTCCTACACAGTAAAGCTTTCCTGAAAATATGAAGTACAGCTCTAGGAAATCACTTGGATCCAAATGTTAATGGTCAATTATTAAAACATGCATAATCTGAAAGAATACAGTCCAAAAAACCCCCAACATAGAATTCTGTTCTTTCAACAAGAACAGCTTGCAAAGTATATCAGAGCATACTTTGTGGGTGAGAAGAGATGCGTGGATTCTAGTATCCAAAGAGATGTCTTCAAAGATGTACACCGATTTCTTAAGCTCAACTTTGGACTTGGTTTCTAAAGGATTCACACCATTACCTTTAGGATTTGGATGCCAAGCTCAAGTTAAGAAAGTGCAGTACCTCAAATAAGCTTGCTGTCAGCTCTTCCAGTTCCTGCTCCAGCTGTTCCCTGACTTTGGAAAGTCTCTCACATTCTTCATCCTTCAACTTTAATTCCTGCAGAGATAAAACACAAGATATAATGATTCTCTATAATCATTCTACTTTACACACAGAGATGGGGGGAGGGAGGGAGGGAGGGAAGGAGAGAGAGACAGATAGACACAAATACACACTTATGCACACACAGATCTACCATACACTGAAGCCTTTCGACAATTGTCTACCCCTGTAAAACTGAAAGTAGTTTTACAAATCTCAACCACAACTTTTAGTGGGCCTTCTTTGCCTAAAATCATATTAACTGAAGAAGGCAACAGCAAAAGCTGGACTTGGACACGTAGCTTAGAAAATATAGAACTCCATATTCACTTTCCTACCAGTTCAACTTCAGGTTGTCAAATATAAAGAAAAGCATAAAGAAAATAAACCCAATAAACAGCATGCCCTAATTTGGGCTTCCCAACAGGCAACCAAAGGCAACATGAGACTCTCAGCTGACTATACAAAGTCCTCAGCTGTGATCTAGAGCCAGATCATATGAGCAGGAAAGAAGGGAAAGAAAACCAGCTGTCAAGCAGTGTCTGGAATCTAGAGAAGCAACAGACTGGAATTCTTGTTTGCCGAGACAGCGTAACGTGTCATCCCAAATTCCAGTTCTGATCCAGTTTGTTATGGAAAACCCTGGTCTTGTAGCCAGTCTGTTCTGCAGTCCAAACTACATAGAAGCATTACAACATAAGGATCCCTGCTTCAAAAGGAACATATATCATCATTTATGAATAGGAAGCAGTAAGGAGTCTGTAAAGCATAAGATTCATGAAACCAAGTTAAGAAATAGACATTTGATCCAAGTTTAGAAAATCACCAAAATCAGTAATATGAAATGAGCTTAAATAATATATGTATGAACTTACAGGGTATGAGGGGAATCATATGTTATACAGTAAAAACCTAGCAGAAAAAAATGGAATAGCATAAATCACCCGGTTTTCTGTTTTAATTTCCTAATAGTATTCTAGAGTTTTACCTGCTCAGCAACTGTCTACTCCATGAATTGATATGAAATAGCTTTGGACAGAATGGAATCAATGTAGCTCACAAACACCTAAAGACAAGCAGAGCGGCAGTACAAAATGTCAATTTCCTAATGCAGATGGACAAAAACTCAATATTTCTTGGTGAGCAATTCAGATGAAGCTTTCGGACTTATGAAGAGGCAACATCGGAGCATATGCATTATGCTTGCCAGCAGGTGGGATTAGGACTAGTGGCCAAATTCTCCGTCCCTTCTTAACCTCATGCTTACCTTCTGAGCTCTACGGAGCTCCTCCTTCAGGAACTCAGAGCCCTTCTCACGGATTTCTACCGAGGAGCTGCGCAAGCGGGAGACGTTCAACTGTGCCACCGACTGGGTGTCATCCCCACCAGTGAAGCTCTTGACAGAAGGCTCTGGGAGCTGTATCTCTTGCCCTCTGTTAGTTGCTGAAAGATGCTTCCACTGACCCACCACTAGCTGCTTTTGGAGCTGTGGTCTTGCCTCCTCAATATGGGTCTGACTGTAAGAAAGAAATTAGTATGTTCAGGATTACAAAGAGGGACACCCTAGGTCAATATGTCCTTTATTTCCCCTCGTGTATATTCCTCTCAAGAATGTACCACATGATTTTCATTACATAGTTACACACACAGGGTGGGGGTGGGGGATGAAGATGGAGAGACAGACACAGCAAATCAAGCAGGCTGTTTCCTCTTTTAAAATAAAGCTTGTTTTCTGCCAGTGAGTTTTACAAATGGAATTAGCTATCACATGATAAGAAGGCCAAGTTAGAAATATTTCTCCAGGAAACAATTTCTTCAATGTTTTTCCTTGGCTGAGAACATAAATGAGGCTATTGACAATTAGCTTTGGTGCACTCATGCTCATCAAAAGAATATTGGTATAGCAGCACACAGTAAATATTTTGTCAGAACACAAAAGAAGGCAGCATTTAAGTGATATCACCACTAGGCATGTATTGTTATTTTGGCATCACCCAGTGTAGAAGAAGAGCTATAAACCACTTCTCTCCATATACAAGATGCCTTTCAAGCAGGACCTGATACCTCCAAATTACAAATCAGTGTGATTATGGGAAATGAAATCATATTCAGAACTAAAGATGGCATCTCTTTGGAATCAGCAGACCTTCAAGCCCAATGCTATTCTGCCTTGGTGAATTTCTCCCTGTTCCTCCCCTTCCAGATCCAAGCAGCTTCCAGACACTCAGACAATACTCTGACAGCATTTGGGGGAGAACGAGGGCAACACCATATTCCCCACCAGGGGTGGGATTCAAATTTCTTAACAACCGGTTCTGTGGGCATGGCCTAATTTGTGGGTGTGGCTTGGTGGACATGTGACTGGGTGGGCATGGCTTGTATGTAAATATTGTAAATATGTATGTAAATATTGAATTTTTTATAACAAAAGAACAACTTTTACTCAAAATCAGGCAAAGCAGGCAGGCAGATTGAGTTGCTCCCAGAAACAGAGATTCACTCAGAGATCTACCATTCTGCAATCTGCTACCTGAGTCTGCACTGAAAAATAGAAGCTTCTGTCCTAAGGAAGGTTCAGCTCTGCTTTTAGGTTAGATAGAAAGCAGGAAATCCAACGATTTCCTGCTTTCTAGCTAATCTAAATCTCCCGGCACAGCTGATAGTCGGAACAACTGATGGTGGGGGGGGGAAAGAAAAAAATAGCAACTTACCAAAAATTAGGCTAACGCAGGCAAGTTGGATGGCGTACATGCCAAGTAAAGAGTGAGTGGGCAGGGAGGGGAGGGGAGGGGCCAGCCAGTGGTACGATTTGCCAGTTCTTCAAACTGAGCAGAATTATAACAACCGGTTCTATAGTCCAACCAAATAGAATCCCACCCCTGTTCCCCACTCAGAAGGATAAACAATGAGTGGTATCAAAAGCTGTCGAGAAGAGTACACTACCACAAATCAGATCCCTCCAAGTGCACCAAGAGCTGTCTCTGTACTGTATCCAGGCCTAAAACCGGATTGCAACAGGTCCAAATAATGTGTTTCATTCAAGTCTTTTTGCATTTTCACCACAATTTTCTTTTCCCCCAGAAAGAGTTGGAGACAGGTCAGTAGTTTATTTAGTATATATGAGTTGAGCAATGGTTCCTTAAGAAGGGACACATCACTGTCTCCTTCAAAGAGGAAGGCAGCTTCTCTTCTCTCAGGAATTCATTCACCATCACTGAAACCCAGCTCTTCCTCACTTTAACCAGGAAGAAAAGAGGTCCAGATTACAGGGGACGGGGTTGAAGTGAAAGTTGCTGCAGATGCCATTGGAAGGAAGATACTGTACATTGCATTAATATACAGGTCAAAGCAAACTCACCCTTGCATAGTAATGAATTTTTATCTATTCCCACATTTGTGACAATAATTTTTCAAATTATACACAAACTTTTCCATGCACAAATAGATATACATAGAATCTTTGACTTCTACAATATAGCCGAACTTCAGTCTCCATCAACCTCTCAAATTGCTTGGATATTTTCTACTCCAGCTATA